TATTTTCTTTTTTTAAAAGAATTTGTTTTTACACAAAATAATATTTTACAACAGTTCTACATGGGGATTGAAAAGTGATTTCCATAATTTATTTTAAAATCACAATGGTATTTTAGTACACAGGTTACGGTGTTGTGATTGATAGTTCTTAGATATGTTGAGTCTTATGTAAAATTGTCAAATTTTAAAGGTGTGTAAGACGTGTACGATCGATTAACAATGATTCCCAATGAAGAAAAACACATTCAACATTATATTATAACACATATGTAAAGATGTGGCACTGCGGTAAAGCGCTAGACTGCTAACCCGAAAGTCTCGAGTTCGAATCCGAGTTGGGATCAGAAAGTCCACCCAGCTCTGATGGGTACCTAACTTACGCTGGGGAAAGAAAATGCGGCTGGGCATAATGCTGGCCACACTATCCCTTCACAGAAACAGGAGAACTCTACTTCACTTGCTCGATGGACCGTTAGGTTCGAATAGGGAACTTTACTTACTTTTACTACATAAGTAGAGATAATATCTGCTTGAATGGCGTTTGTTACTGTGTATGCTTAGACGTTAGTCATTGTAGTTCAGCATTAAACACATAGTTTAAAAAAACAACGTTCAAATGTTTTAATTGAGAGGAATCACAAAAATACAATTATTTTTCGAACAGATAAACTTTTGTAACAAAGGTTCAAATTTTGATATGATTATCTAAGTAATCATCTCCTTATATGGGCAACAACTGATAACTTTATCTTTGCGCTTAACATGGACCTCAAAAGTGAAAGTGTGTGAAAGACCTTTGTAAAACGTCGCACATTATTTTGTTTATCTGTTAAAAGTTAAAGGGATGGACGAAATTTCTAATAAAAAATGACCGTGCAATCTATTTTAACGATAACATTCATTATGGAGCAATTTAACGATAAAATTCATTATGAAGAAAAACGTTGCTATTGTCATAAATGAAAATTATCTGGCTATTTGGTTAAATGGGTTAAAAATGGCAAAGAAACTTTAGCGTTGATGGAGCTCAAGTATGAATTTTGAAAACAAAATATATACTCCCACTAAAGAACCACAATTCTCTCTCTCTATCTCCCCCCCCCCCCCCTCCCCCCCAAAAAAATAATTGAAAAGACAAAAAAGTATGAATAAAAAGAACCACAAATCTTGGATCATAGCTTAAGGTGACTACCATACATAGAACATAAATTATTTAAATATATATCAAATTCAGTAAACCAGTACACATTATTTAGGAACCATTTAACGTTATGACCTAAATCCTACGACCTAATCGAGTCATAGGGAAGAATCAGGCCTTCGGAAATTTAATAATTGTAATTAACGTTAAATATATTTGGTGGTCAGAAAGTTGATTTGACTTTTGGGCGAAGAAAATCTGGCCATCATGAGATAATGTACATTGTACTAGTACTCAATAAACTGAAACCAAGCCAAATTGGTTTTCAATGTTGTTATTAAAAAACAATCATAATTACGTAATGATGGAGAAATAGTTCCGCCAGGACCTGAAACAAGCTCATTTATAAAAAAAATGGTATTCTCCTATTTTATTTACCATGAGATGTCAAGCGATTGTGCCTTATCTTTAACTTTACATAACTGATTCATCAGCTCTCAACAAGCCGAAACTCAGGGTCTGAATACAAATTGTGAGCGTGAGAAGATGGCAATGATCAGAGTTTCTTCCAGGCATCTCTCCGGAAGAAAGTCTGCCGCCTCCAAAACACAATGAAAATTATATAGAGAATATATACTTTTACCAGTGTCTGCCCCCCCCCCCCCCCCGGAAATTTAGCCAGCCCCCACAAAACACCCGAAAATATCAAGTGCCCACCCGGAGAAAAAAAGTCTGAAATAAACACTGATAATTAAGCAATAACAATAAAAAGAATAATTAAAAACAAACAAACGCAAATGTGGTCTGTCACACACCCTCACTACATTAAAGACGACGGCTATTACAATTTAACACGAAAACAACAATACATAATCTTTCGACTCAGAACAGGCCACAACAGACTAAATCAACACATGCACAAAAAACTGAAGGTTGGGTGTAGCGAAATGTGCCCTTGTGGCAAGGCCCCGGAAAACACAGAGCACGTACTCCAGGAATGTACTCTGTATAGCCAGGCAAGAGGCAGACACTGGCCCCAGCCCACCCCACTCAGGGAAAAATTATATGGGACACCTGACAAACTGGAAACCACAGTCCGGTTTGTCCACGAAGTTGGACTTGTTGTCTGAATCCTCCACCATATTCAAAAATTAAGAACGAAGAAGAAGAAGAAGAACACTGATAATGTTCGAGTGGTGTGTCGCTCAACCACTGTATTACTTAAGATCCCCACCTTTTGATCCGCAGTTTGATGTACACGGATTATAAATGTACACAGGCAAGGGGGTATGGGGGAGGGGTTAATCCCCGGCCCCCGCAATGTCTTACAACATAAAAGTGGTCTCAAATTTACGTTAGGTTCCAGTTATTGGCGTCTGTGCGCTCGTGTCTACAATTTCAAAACTTTAAAAGTCATAAAACTTAATCTACATAATTCTTTATCAGTCTAGAATTTTCGACCACATTAGTCCCCATCTGCCCGGTGGTCCAATACTGCTTGCCTTTATTTCTACCAACAGTCGTACGTGTACCAGTAAGAGACCTGTTTTTTCTAGAACACATTCAATCCACATTGATGCTTGCTTTCATGTTTCTAACAGCGTATTTTTAATGCTTACGACAGGGCCAGATAGTTTACACGTGTTGTGAAAATGATGTCAACACGCTTTTCTGTGTTAAAGTGACGTGTCTGTTCGCCCTTGACCCCACCCTTTTGCCATACATGTTTTAAGTTATCTTTCCATAGGTAGGTCATTGCCTTGGTTTTTTTTTTAATTTCTTGTGCTTTTAGCACTTACACCTAGGCCTTACACCTAACTGCTTCAATTTTTTATCGAATATTTTTTCACCTATAAAATGAAGCTAAAATTTACAAACTAGTTTTTACAACAGTAAATACTCATTTTAATATATCTTTGTAGTAAAGTCAACGGAATGTTTAAAAAAAATTAACACTATAAAAACAAATGGTCGAAATGATTTATTCATATTAAAAAAATATATTTCTTTAAATCACAATAAAAGAGAATAGATTGCAATAAATTCAACATTGTAACTGATACTTTGAAGAACAATCATCGTTGAAACTGAAGTAGAAATACAGATGGTGAATTTCTACATACTTAGAAATGACTGTTGATACCTGTTAGACGGCGATTTACAGCTTCAGAATTATAATCTTCCGAACTTAGTCTTAATCCAGCAACACAATTAAAAAAAAAAAATTTTTTTTAAGAAATTGGTGTCGTTAAAGAATGGGATTAAAAAGTTTTAATGCCTAGCCATTATTTTAGGGTTTGCACAAAATAAAATGGCTGGGAGAGGATATGGTTCTGGACAGTGTTTCTTTAAGGCATCTCTCCTCGTACCCCCCCCCCCCCCCCCCCGGACGAAAAGAAAAAATAATAATATAAAAAGAAAATGTACTTTAAACATTGTCCGCTCTCCCGTAGAAAGGTTCAAGTACTACCCCAAACCCCCCCCCCCCACTTGAGCAAAATGTCAGAAAGAAACCTTGGTTCTGACGTCTATGAGTATACTCTATGTGGGGAGATGGTGGTTGAGGCAGAAAGTCCCTAGAATTTCTTTAAAATAAACATGATGATGAACATGTTCATTATCTTTAAAGTAAGATAATTTTTTGAAATAAGGGGAGGGGCGTTGGACTAATCAATAAGAACAACTATTTGAGTGTAGAGTTAAGGACGTCACGCTTTTTAAAACGATGTTTATCTACCCGCAGTCCCCATCGTCACACATTGTTACAAAAGTCAGATACACCTCACTCAAATGAAGCCACACAAATAACTCAGGTTGAAAAACTATTTGTTAAAAGACAAAAGTGTGTGTTCCCACTGTAAACCCCCTCCCTCCGCCTTGTAACTAAGTCCGACCCTGATTCCCCCCCCCCCCCCCGCTAGGAGTGTCGTTTATGGACCACCCCTTACGGTTGAAAATTGACTATTATCCTCCAATTGAAAAGTAGTATCCCAGGCTCTTGAAAACAAGTAATCATTTGGGTAACTATCAAAAAAAGGTAAAAAAAATAAATTAAATTAATGATAGACCAACACTCTGGAATTATTCTCGTACAGACAGTAACAACATTAAATAACGATTAGGCTAGGTTTCAGTTTATTGAGTACTACGTTAAATCATGATGGCCAGATTTTCTTAGCCCAAAAGTCAAATCAAATTCTTGACCACCAAATATATTTAACGTGAATTATAAGTATTGAATTTCCGAAGGCCTGATTCTTCCCTCGGATTCGATTAGGTCGTAGGATATGGGTCGTAACGTTAAATCTACCTTTCTGAATTGCTGACCTCAAAGTACGGAAAATTACCGTTACACCACCGTAGTGCAAGTGTTAGAAGATTTACGTGGGAAGCAAGCTTTCGCTTTCCGCGCAGCGAACCATACACCAAAGCCAATATTTCAGATATGTTATCGATATGAATAGATAACAATGAATACCATTTAACTGATGTGTGTGACTAAAAAAACTTTCACTGTAAATCAGTGACAATTTAAAGGTGATATCGTCATCTGTATGCCATATGGCACAAACCATATTTTTAACCCGAGGGTGATCTGCGATGACCTAACAAATCTAATTAGAGATTAAAATTATCGCTATCGGCACGATAATGACAATTGATGACTTTGCTATCTACTTGTAAAAATGTCAGTATAATGATGTCAGCTGTAACTTTGAGAACAGTACTTTGGTTAACCGCTCTCTCCCTCTCCCTCGCACTGCACGTGGACACTTATCGTGGTTAGCCAATCAGAGACATTGAAGTTAAACTTTGGCCCAAAAGTGTGCATCATTGGAATACAGTTGCCTCCAGTATAAAAATAAGCGCTCAGCGCTGGGAAACTCAGAACGTTTTTCGCCTTGAGACCAACCATGGACACCAGAGCCTTGGTCGTGTTGGCGCTTATAGCCGCTGCTAGTGCGGGTAAGAAAAACATTTTCAACTTTTTAAAAAAGTTTATTTGTAATTTTAATTAAAATAAATAAGTTATATATTGCAATTGCAATGATTAAAGATGAAACATCCTTAGTTTTTTAACTTTTTAATTTAGCTTTTTAAATAAAAAAAATGTTAATGTATAAAAATATATACACTTATTTATAAATGAAAACCAATGGATATGCAATCAAAAGGAACATCTCGATTAACATTGGTACCCATCATCTTGACTATAGTGTAGCACACATTTAATGTCAATGACTAGTTATTATTATTTTTGAAAAACTAACTGCAGTCATCATCAGATGCTATTGATGGATATGCCATGCCATATATTATTTTTTATTAAAGCGATGCTTGTATTTTTAAATATAAAAACAGTTTTGCTTTTATTTAATTGGAAATTCTCTTAATCTGGAATACCAAGTTATATTTTAATTATTCTGAAAGCTCAACTGTTATTTTATAAATGGGGTATTTAGATAAACTATTGTTTATTTAAAAGAACACAATATGTGTATGAAAAATAACTTACTAAATTACTACTTACTGCATTACTAATGCGTGTAATAAGGGGCAAAACCGTGTATATTTAAATATATGTGATAGTTTACATGTGCGTTTTGTCCCTTACAGTTCCTATGAAGAAAAGGTCCATTAATGTCGATGATGACTCGTGCGCACAGACATGCAAAGGTGAGTGAATGATAGAATTAATAAAAAACAAAACAACTTTTCATAGCTTTCTAAGAATATATCTTTTCCACCATACTATCCATGCATAGTATAAAATGTAGTGATGCTATAAAATGTACATACCAACCTTTATAACGCATTTATTAAAGATCATTACAGTTATGTTGCTCACTAGTGTCATGATTTTACTTAATTAAGGAAACACAAATGTACGAATTGCGTCCTCTAGAATAGTTTAAGATAACATAACATATGCCCCCCCCCCAGCAACGCCATCTTATAATAAAAAACGGATAAAATGTGTGAGTGGGTGGGGTGGGGTGGTATAAGCAATACGTTTGTGCAACAATTTTAAAACCTGTTTTTCGTATATTCGCACACATCATGCAGATTTTACCATGAGACATGTTAAATGATATACTCCCGCTTTATAATTATATAGTTCCTCTTTTAATAAAGCTTATGTAAGAGAAAAATCAGTTAAATTGTATGACTAAACTTCTAGCCTAATGTTTGATTAAAAAAAAGTCCTGCTGAAGTAAGATTTGTTTTATCGTATCAATATGTTTTTAAATTATGGACTCAAGCCAAACATCAATTACATTTATTAGTAGGCCTTTAATTAATTCGATATCTTTGTAATCTGATTATGCCTATTTCAATATAAAGTTGGTAAAAATATTCTGCTTTCAATGAACTTAATTAAACGGTAAATGTTATCGCGGGGCTGATAGATAATAAATGATTATTTTCTAAATCTATGTGTCTATAAATAGAATGTAGTGTAGCGATTACGTTTTTGGCGGAAGCTTGCCAGGTACAATAACATGATCAGCCAAATGTAATATATTAAAGTAAAGTATTGAACTAGTTCGGCCAGATAGATCTACCAAAAATTTATTAAGTTCTTATCGCACTTATTAGCATACCAGATTAAAGGCCTTATATGTAGGGCTTTCATCAGTTGTGATTAAGTGAGATAAACATTTATCACTTTCGCTTTCGTTCCAGTTAATAACAGCGTTATCACTGAAAACTGATCGACCTAGAACTCTAGCTTAACTAGCCTACATATCGTATTTAATGTAATTACAATTAACTGACCTGTTATCGATCTTTCTTATCGGGAAGATAACTGACCTTTGTATTGAGTTCAAAAAGTCACGTAAAATTGGGTGGGTGGATACAGATCTACTATATTTTAAATATTAACAAAATTAATATTAATTGATTAATTGGATTTGAACTTATAACCAATAATTAGTTTTAGCAAATTACCAATGTAAATAAATAAAACAATTGAAAATTACCCTAAGCTAATAATATTTTGCATAGGCCAAACTGGCAAATTAAAAGTGATCATGCACATACACCTGTAAACCAAGATCTATTACTGACTATTAGAATTCACTCATTAAACAAGACGTTTAAAAATCTTAGTATCGGTAATATATAATAGGCCTACAACAACAATAAATAGACTTATCTTGTTTACATATTTAATTAGGTTAATGTTTTCAAAAACTTTGAAATCACTTTTAACAAAAATTTAAAAATAATGATAATGTAATTTTAATGTAATCATTTATGATTTAACTACCCCTCTCCCCCTTGGCCTTCCACCATCGCGTTTTGTAACAAGTTGTACTCCCCCCAAGAATCCTATTTAGATCTAGAATCTATAGTCGCCCCTAATAAAATAGTTAGAAATACAACAAAACCTGTTGAGTGATTTTAAACCTACATAAAATACATTAATTTCAAAGCTAGAAGTAAGGGACAAAAAAAATGAAACAGCAAAGGAATGTTCTTAATTTAATCTTATTATAGATCTAGATAAAATATTGGATTGGATCTAGTCACTAGTGTACTAGTCTATATTCTGTATAATATATTAATATTATCTAGAGATTTTAGTGAAGTGAATGTAAGTCATAACTTCATAGCTCTAAGGGTCAAGCTTAGTATTAAGTACAAAATAAATGAACTTCTTTGATAATGTTTGATAAATTTCAATTTGTATCACTAACAGACCAACCAAGCAAGTTTAAGTATGCACCCGACACAACCTACATCTATGACTACAAAGTTGACACAGACACCACAATGGCTGGTTCCACCAAAGATTCAGCAAAGTTGTCTATCCAGGTATAAACATTTGCAAAACTTATAAAAACTCTGTTAGCTTAGCTATTTGCTGATGCAGATTTATATAGGCTGCCTGATAGGGTTAAAAGTATTATTTTGTCAACGATTTCTGCAAGACTAAATGCCATGTGAATGGCTTATATATTGTACCCTAATTAATTAAATACAATGTGTAACTTAGTGTTGACGGTGATGTAATTATTGACCTAAATAAATCAACTTGTTTAGGCACGAGCTGAAATTCAGACCATTGATACCTGTGAGTTCGCCTTGAAAATTAAAGATGTCAGAATCTCACACTCTGATGCCTACACAACAGAACTGAAGAGTTCTGACAGGTGAGTTACGGTTCTTATATTTATTTAAAAAAATATTGAGTAACCAATGTGTTCTACATTAAAGAGTTGATACAGCATCTGGGTTTTCGACAGTGGTATAAATATTTATTTGTATCTGATTCTGATAGTTTCATTAGGGGTGACTTACTGATTAAGCTAAATAATGTAAAGAGAGAAGTAGAACTAACTGCACAGTTTGTTATATTTATGTCAGTATTTTAGTTATCTTTTTCTTGTTGCTTGACAAAAACTGACTTTATTGTTACATATATAGGGAAGATGAATTCAAGGTAGCTTTACAAGAACACATGCTTAGATTTTCATTCGATGATGGCATCATTGCATCTGTGTGCCCTAATGAAGACGAATCAACATGGGTTCTTAATTTCAAGAAAGGTCTGCTCTCAGCTTTCCAAAACAGTATGGATAGTTTTGAAAAGGATCAGAAAATGTCAGAGGTAATTCTCAACTAAAGAGTTAAATAGAGAATAGAATTTTAGTACATTAAAAATAATGTAATGTAAACATTTGTTTAAAAATTATTTATTTCTTAAGATAATGAATGAAAAGCCTTTGGAATTTATAAACTGTTCATTTACAGACTGATATCACTGGAGAGTGCACAGCTGATTACAGTGTTGCTAAGTCCTGGGGTGCTTGGAAGGACACAACTGTCAAGAAATCCAAAAACCTAGTCGCCTGCTCCAAGCGAGATGGATACACAAGCTTCTACCAGACCATCTCTTACAATGTCCCATCTGTAAGTCTCATGTCTCATTTTTCCTTACTTTTCTTTTTTCACTATCCTTTATTATAAATAAGTAACATAATTCTTTTTCTTATGATCAATAACTTTTACCTTCTTCTTTTGACCATTAGGTCAAAAAATGACTTTAGAACTTTACTAAATGCAAAATATTTTACCGAAAAATAGGAGATTCAGTCCCTTCCCATCATGCAAGGCACCCACACCTGTGACTACATTGTAAACAGTGATAAAGTGCTGAAGATGGTGTCTTGTGAGGAGAACCACATTTTTGCCCCATTCTCCAACAAAGAAAGCGGTGGCAGGACTAAAGTGCAGCAAAAACTCACCCTTATCACTCAGAAGAGTGGAATTGATATGAATAAAGGTAACTAAATATAGCGTACTGATATATCAGAACTAACTTTTTGAACTTGTTGTTCTTTATATTTTATTGTTCTTCTTTACAATTTATACAAGAATGATTGCATCCTATTTATACTAGAACAATTTCCATTTTTAGATACCGTCCAAACCAGAAGCAGCCTTTTGTTTGAACATTTCGGAAATGATGATCAGAGCAACAATGCAAGGGAATCTGCCCAGCAAACTCTGAAGGAGATTTGTGACCAGACCAAGGATGATCTCAGGTATAATTTCTATAACATTTTCCGAAAAAAATGTAACACTAATTTAAAATTCAACTACTTAGTGTAATAAATCCTTAACATTCTGCTTACAACATGGGGAAAACTATAAATTCTGTTTAAAAATTATAACTGCCAAGAACCAGGCAAATGTGACTTAAAATCAAACTCATGATTTAACCCTCTGTTCATTTTAGACCCGAAACACCAAGACTGTTTTCGCAGCTTGTGAAGGTGATGAAAGCACTGAAGTCCACAGAGCTTGGAGATCTACATACCCAGTTGAAAAACAAGAATTTGTGCCCCGACAATGGAAGAGCCATGTAAGAATGTGTTTATATGGAAAAAAATAATTGTACACATAATTTAACATTTTTGACACACTTAAATACATTAGGAATGATTTACATTCCATATTTTTATTTAATGTATAAAATAATAAATTACTACTTATTTATTATTACATTTGAGTTTATTAATTTTACAATTATTGTGAAGTATGACTGAAAAGATTTTGTTTTTTCAAACAGAAAAATACAAAATTAATATAACAATTAAAAAAAACTATTAGTTCAGAACAATTTCTCTTTAGCTTTGTTACTACAACTGTTTTAATTTTTTCAGCAAATTTTTCACTGACGCCCTGCCCATGACAGAAACCTCTGCATCTGTGGAACTCATGTCCAACTTGATTAAAGCCGGTGATGTTAAAGGTGTCTTAGCTAAAGCATGGTTAGCTTCTCTTGCTCTGATCCAAACTCCAACCAGTGAGATGATTACAAGCATTACAGTAAGTAAAATAAATAAAAAAAACTGCTAAATATAGTTAAAAAGGATAAAAGGAATTTGATTTGAAATCGCACATAGTTTTTACTCTTTATAGCATGTTTTTGAAAAACAATTGTATTTTTGAAAATTATATAACAGTTTCTTGATTATTTTTAAAATCAGCCTTTACTGGATGATAACTATTACAATGATGCTGTGATGCCCATTACTGCCCTTGTGAACAACTACTGTAAGAAAGTCCCAACCTGCGGAGATGACTACAACATGGGTGCCATTACACAAAAAATCAACGAGAAACTACCCAGAAATTGTGCAGTCAAGGAAAGAGATCTTAGTTTGGTGAGCACTGCTCTTTATCCAGAGTTGCCAATGGAAATTAATTCTTTCATACTTTTACTTTAACAGATTTACATACATTTTAAAATGTTTTCTGTAATTATATATGTAATACATATTTAATTAATTTCTTTGCATTTTAATTTAAGGTCATGAAAACACTGAGAGCTGCTGGCAACCTCGGCAAGACAGGTGATGTCAATCTGGCTACCTGTCTAAAAGCAAAATCTGCCCCTGTTGAAGTCAGGTCAGCAGCTGCTGAGGCCTTTAGAAATTTCCCCTGTGACAGCAAAGCAGTAAGAAAAATTATCATATTTTATTTCATATTTTAATATTGTGCCCATTGATTCAAATTAATAAAAAAGAAGTTTTATTTTTAAAATCATCATATTCTTATTCATATTTTAATATTGTGCCCATTGATTAAACATTAAAAAATTGTTGTATTTTATTTTAAAAAATCATCATATTCTATTTTATATTTTAATATTACTTTCATTGATTAAAATACAAAAAATTTTTTTTTTGATTTTTAAAATCATTTTCTTATTCATATTTTAATATTGTGGCCAATTTTAAAAAATTCCTCAGAATGATGATCTTTGGGCTATCCTGAATGACCAAAGCGAAGTCTCTGAAGTGAGAATCTTCTCATACCTCTCTGTGATGCGATGCCCCACTAAAGACAACTTGGACAAGATCGCCCAGCTCTTGCAGAATGAAAACGATGACCAGGTTGGGTCCTACATTTCTAGTCACCTCACCAACTTGAAGCAGACCTCCGACCCCCACAAACAGGAAGTAGCTGCAGCTATCAGCAAGTAAGAAAACTTACTATTTCCATTCTCATGTTTTAAGTAACATTTCTAGGAATTAATCTTATTTACTTTTTTCTCTTTCAAAATATTTCCATTCTCATTTTGAAGTAACATTTCTAGGAATCAATATAATTTACATTTTCTTTTAAAATATTGACTTAAATTGTCTAAAATTGGCTATTTCCATTTTAATGTTTAAAACAAAATGACTAAAATTTAAGCTAGCATGCACCTACAGATAATTATTACCGGTATACTCAAGATCAGAATTCTTTCTTTATTTTCCAGGCTCTCCTTCAAATCATTTGACCTGAGTGCACTTAAATACTCTAAAAACTTTGAGGGATCATTCCTCATCAACAAGTTGAACCTTGGTCTGGTCGCTGGCGCTGATGTCATCCTGAGCTCCGAGTCTCCTATTCCCCGTTATGCTAAAGCCAACCTGACAGTTGAGTTGTTTGGAAACTCCATCAACATCTTTGAGGCTGGTGGACGAGTTGAGGGTCTGGAAGCTTTGATTGAAAAGGTTCTGGGATCTACAGGATATTTCCCCAATAATAACAAGGTAAAATAACTACAAATGAAATACCCACTACCAAAGCAATGTATCTATGATAGACCAATATTTATTTTTATAGAATTATTGGAATTGAAATGATAAAAGCTCAAGATGATAATTTAAATAAATATTTAAAAGTATTTTTTATGCATTAATTTTTTAAATAGTAAATAATTTAGATAATCTCCCTTTTCTTTACAGGCCACAGGAAAGCTGAATGACGTGAAAGGATTCGCCTATGCTCGTATGTTTGGCAATGAACTTTTCTTTGAACATGCCAAAGGAGCTGAGAGCCTGTTTAAATCTGGAAAAACACCCAACTTTTTGGATATTTTGATCAAGCTGGCCAACAGACAGGAAGTAGCCTACACCCACAGCCAAAAGTTGATGGATGTCTCCCTTGTTATTCCAACTATTGCAGGTTCGTACATTTTGATACTGTAACGGTTGATGTAAAGTATCAAGCCAAGTTTGAAAATGAGCTTCAGTTAATAATTTATTTAACTCATTTCAGGTTTACCACTGAATATTGTGGTGAATGGTTCCATTAACTTTGACCTCAAAGCCGAAGGCAAAGCAGATCTTCGACAAGTGTCAACCTCCCCACGCTCACTCTTGATTGAAGGAGAGTTTAAGCCAAGGTAATTCATACTTTAAATTATTTTCTTTGCTTGTATTCCCATATGCCAAAATATTGAAACATATTTAAATTGATAATTGATAAATAAACACTGAATTTAAAAATTAAAATTTTTCTAATAAATAATAAAATTTATAAAGAGCTATGTATAAAATATCTCTAACAATATACAGAAGTATTTATGTTTTTAAGTTCTAAATTTCTTTTATGTTCTCTATTAATATATGCCAAAAAAAATTAAATTGGCATCTGTTTAATACTAAACTTTACACATTTTAGCGCTGCATTGGAAATCACAGGAACAATGTCTGTTGATGCTTTTGTCGCCAAACTTGGTCTTAGAATGCGCAACACCATGCACTCCAGCACTGGCATCAAGGGACGCATAGAAATCAACAGAGGCCGTGAACTTAGTGTTGAGATTGACCCACCTAGAGACAACATGGAAATTTTCAATGCCAAGTATGTTAACAACATAAAATTTTAACTTAACAAGTACTTACTTATGTGAAACCATATCCTAGAAAATATAAGAATATCTTTTGAAATGGGAAAGATGTAAATTAAAGAAGGTAGATTAATTGTTCTGAAATGGTACATGTTGAATGGCAATTTGTATTTGTTAACAGCTAAACATAATTGAAATGAATTTATTACTTTTTTAAGATCCCAGTTTTTCATTGTCCACAACGAAATTGAAAAGGAGCAGGAGATGATCAAAACAAACCGCAAAGTTTACAAATACTGCACAGGTAACGCTCCAGTTAAAACAAATTTGTCTTTCTAGTATTCAAACTTTAACAAAAATGAAATAAAAAATACTTAAAATTAGAGTGTTATAAAACTTTTATGAAAATTAATTTATTTGATCACCAACAGGTAAAAAAATGGCCACCATTCTTGGTGTTGAATTCTGTGGAGAAATCCAGTTCCCTAATGCCTCTGCTATTAGTGATGCACCATATTTCCCTCTGACTGGACCAAGCAGCATCAGCATTGTTTCCTACAGAAGAGACACACACACCATCTATAAACTCTTTGCCAAGAGAGTTGAGGTACTTTTTAATGTCTTATTAATATTCATTAAAATATTAATAATATCTGAAAATAAATGAGATTTTCATTCAAATTTTAAGATTCAGTATTTAAATATTTGCCAATGATACAGATTACATTTTTTTGATGTTTTCACACTGTCATTAAATGATTGTTCTATAGAACCAGAAAAACAGCATTGCACAGTTTTTGATGAACACCCCTGGATCAACCATTGACAGAATGATCTCAGCAGATCTCACCATTGGCTACTCCCCACTCCAGCTTGACGTTAATGTTGTTTCTCCCTGGAAGAAAATCAACCTCAACAGTGAGTATATAGCATGCAATCCTAGTCCACTGCCTTCTAGTTAATAATAACTAACTTCACTTGAAGGTTTTTAAATCTACATCGGTATATTTGCACAATCATGCCAGGATTATATAATTAAAGAATTTATTAAATTGATATAAAAAGTGATATTTCAAACTATTTTATAAAAATGTGTTTAATTTCATCAATGAAATAAAAAAGTATTAAAATCAATAATAATTGTTATAAATTTAATGAATAGTCAATAGAAATGTACATTTTAAAATATTTGTCTTCAGGTGGTGTAGTTATGAATAAAGATCTGTACAGTCTAGTGGGCAGTGTCATGCTTGATGATGCAAACAAATACGGCGTGGCCTCTGAAGTAAAAATCAACAAACGTGGAAACAGCAGGGTGTTCACTCCCTTGATTGAGCTGACCAACAAAGGAAAAACCCAAACTCTCCTCTCTGGTGAGGTTGAAATTGACCAGATCAAGAAAGTCCATGTTGACCTGACAATGAGTGGATACATGGTCCCTTACAACTTCAAGGGTAATTATTTCACACAAAAATTTCTTACAACTCTCATGTACTGTCAGTTTTAGATCTTTGAAACTCAAGTTGCGAATTTTTATTTAGTGACCACCATCCAGACTTAAATTTAAAAAAAATGTTTGTTATTATTTATGTGTAATATTCATTTTTTTGTGTATTAAAAAAATTCAGCTGATCTGATGAACCTTGAGAATGAGAAGAGATTGACTTCCAGTTTCAGCAGTGGTGAAAAAGAAAACTACTTTGTCAACATTGGCACCATCATTAATGGCAAAAAGGGTAGCAGGTATGTGCCCAAAGTGATATTTAAAAAAAAAAACATTCTATCACTAATACAAGAATTATTAAAAGTATATTTTAATGAGTACAACTATTTTTATAACATTCTACTATTATATACGACATAGAAAAAAAAATGGTACTTGATGATTAAAAAAAATGAACTCTTTTTTTTTTGTTACAGCATTCAAGTTACCCCTGAAGTGACAGTCAAAGTTTCAGACAAGACCGTGGTTTCATTCACTGGAGCTGGGGAGTACAGGCCAGACAAAGTCATCAGTGGCAGCGTTTCTCTCGTTGCTCTTAAATACAAACCAACCAACGTGACTTGTAAGTATTTCTTTTTCAAAGCTTTATTTGTAATGGGAAAGTGAATTAGTAGGAGAGACAACTGTGTAGATTATTGTCGCATTGTGAGTGATTGATTGAATTTAATGTAGGGTTACATAATTAGGCCTACAAAAATGTTTGACCTAAAGTGAATTAAATTTATTAAATATGACAGTGTATATTGTTATTGAATAATGTTTATTTTTAAGTTTAATTATTATATCATTTCTATTTTAAGATTAATAATCTTTAATCTGAATTTTAAAAATGAAACTAAAGTTCACTTTTTATTCCAGTCAAATACACAACATCTAAGAAAGACAAATATATTTTTGACGGCAAAGTTACCTCTCCTTTTATAACTGGTGGGATCAACATGGTCAACAGCATTCAGCGCAAGAACCTGCTGACTTCCACAATCAAAGCCAATTACAACATTCCTAAAGTTGGCAAGGACAGCATTACATTGGTCTCTAAATTCAACGACAAGAATCCCAGATTTATTGTGACCAGGTATGCTAATCAATTTTTCTTTTTCTATAAACATTATATATATGGTTTAAGGAATAATGTAACTTTTGGTTACATTGTGCATTAGAGTGTGAGCTAAAATTATAAAATATAAACTGATGGTGTTTGTTTTGCTTTCACTAATGAAGAGTTCTAACTTGATCTCATGCACAGTGATCTGAGCATGGCACAAAACAAAGACTACAACACCAACGTGAAAGTTGAATTTGGCCACAAAAACAAGTACAGTGATGCCTCAGTTGAAGTTAAATATGGCAGTGACCCCAACGACAGCAAGAAGAAGCTGACCCTCACCTACAACTTCGCCAAGAAAGCTCTGAGTCTCAGAGATACAGATATTGACTTCTCCATTGGAGCTCAGTTGCCAGAAAAGGTCAGTAAAAAGTATTTGGTACCTGAATTGTCAGGCTGTTGAAAATTTTGTGCTGTTCATGGGGTGATATCTTAAGTGGTATAGCTTACAGTTGTTCAACGTCTACAGTTTAGAATCAGGAGGTGAAAAGAAATTATTCAGCTCTTAACAGTTTTTGAATTGTTTAAAAGCTAAAAAAAAACATGGCTTTTTTGATGATTGCGTTAATCTGTAATTTGTTTTTTAAATTACAGAACTGGGACACCTCTCTGCAAGTATCACATAGCCACAGCCCAATCAACGTTGATTCCAGCTTATCACTGAAACTAACACCTGTCCTCAAGAAACCAATCATTGTTAAAATCAAGGGGGAGAAGCCAAAACAGAAACTGATGAGCTACACAGGAGAGGCAACTCTTAATGCAGAAGGCAGGAAGTACGCAGTGACAACAGGCTTTGTACAAAACACAGACAAACAGTACCAGCACACCCTTGAGTACTCTGACAATGGCAAGCCCAAGCACACCATGAAGACAGTTTACACTTTACAGTCCAACAACCACGACCTGCGCTCTGACATTAATCTGGATGGCTTCAAACTTATTCAGATCCAATGCAATGGTTCCCTGGACATCCGCTCACAGAATTTCAGGACAGCTTTTGATGCCAGATACGGTGATGATGTGTACGGCGCCATGGTGCAGTCCAAGTACGCTCCTCAGGTGATGAGAAAAGTTAACCTTGAGCTGACCTACCCTACTAGACAAATCAAGGCCGAGGCTGAGGGCAAGTACAAGGACAAATACGACGGCTCCATTTCTCTTGACTGGGACGCTGGCAGAAACACTAAGAGCCAGGTTGAGATCTCCGGCTCATTCAAGAACACAGAGAGGAAAACTGACCAGTCCATCAATGCTAATGTCAACCTCAAAACACCATTTTCAGGCTATGAAGATTTAGGAGCTAACGTGTTCTTCAGCTCTGATCCATCAAAATACAACGCTGGTGGGAAATTTATCAGTTTAGGAAAGCCTAAATTTACTTCAAACGTAAACATTGAACGTCCATTCTCATTCAACAGCGCCAAAGCCACAGTCACAGTTAGCACAGCAAACAAGAGCTTTAAGGAGTTTGACTTTGAGCTGAACCACAAGTATGACTCATCCCTCATGACTGTCATCACAGGAAAGAGGAACAACGACCAGGTAGCTATGACTCTGGTGGGAGAAGACAACAGCGATGATTACAACAACGACCTCAGTGCCAAGTTTGAGCTCAAGTCATCCATTCAGGCCATTAAAGATGTTAAAATCAATCTGGCTCACAAAAACAATGACAACAGCTACGTCACCTCTGCTGCCCTTACCCATAACAACAACAAATACGACGCTGGAATTGAAGTCAACCACAACAGCAATGATGGTGATGTATCCAATGATGGTAACATCAAGGTAAGCTGGCCAAAGGATTCTTTTGAAACCACCTGGAAACACGCCACCTCTGGTTATAAGAATATCAGAAGCTCAATGACCTCAAAGTGGAACAGAGGCAAGACAATGGTGGTGAGCATTGAAGGTTCAAACAACGCTGGGCTTGTCAGTGGAAAAGTTGTCCTACAGTCTCCTTTTGAGCAGTACAGGAACATGGAGCTCAACTTCAACCACAACCTGGGGGGTAAACGATTCGACAGCAGCGCCTCCTTCAAGAAGAACAAAGTTGAAACAGCCGTGTACAACGTCAATCTAGAACCAGGCAATGTTAAGTTTTACATCATCACCCCATTCTATCAGCATAAGGTTGACGGACAAGCCACCTATAAAATGGGCGGATTCCTGAATCCTCTGTCTGTCTCCACTTGGCTGCAGTGGAAGCCATGGGCTAGAGTTGATTTTGATGGCTATCTGGGACTGGAATCATCTGACAACATTGAGATGAGAATCAAACTGACTACACCCTTTGAGGCTCTGGCCAACATAGCTGTACAGGCAACCCACAAGCTGGAAGATTCCGAGTACACCACCTACACCCTCATTGACTATGATGTGGACAAGAAGATTGAGTTTGAAAACAAGCTTAACATTGATGATATGCAGATCCGCACCAAAATGAACACTCCTTGCCCTTACTTCAAGTCACTGAACTATGGAGCCATGCTTGAGATGGATGACGGCAGTGTGAAAGCAAGCGCCGATTTTGAATTGTTGCCAATGGTTAAAAAGTATGACACTGTCTTTGCTGTTGAGTATGGAAACGGTGAACACAGAAGCAAATTTAACCTCAACACCCCACACACAGCACTGCCATCTGTTGAGATCACTTCATGGAAGAAGATCCAAGAAGATGGAAGCACCTCTGTACAGTTCAAAGTGTCCTCACCAACATATGGAGTTTACAGCTATGATGAAACCTACAAATTTGACCTGCCTATGTACATGGAAGTCACCCTCAAAACACCACATGCCAAACTTGAAACCGCAGGCATGAAATTCTCCTTTAATTCCCAAAACAAAAATGTCCAGTCTAAATGGAGAGCCAACTTGAACAAGCAGGAAATGACATCAGAGCTCACGATGGACTGGAGCAAGAACGTTGAAGTTTCCTTTTCTCTCAACACACCTTTCCAAAACTTGAGGAACAACATTTTCACCCTGAAACACGACACCAGCAAGAAGGGGTTCAACAGCCGGACAGAAACCCGCATTGGTAACTTCAGAGCTCAAGGTGAAGCCGCCTTTTCATCAAGCAGTGACACCGCCACAGGAAACACTCGTCTGACCATTACAGGCTATGATAAATTTGAAGGCAGCTTTAAACTCCTGGGCAACATCAACAATGTTGTTGGAGACGCTAGCGTAAAGCTTGGGGCCAAGGCAGTGAAAGTGTCATTCACAAACAACATGAGCCCAAGTACATACAAGTCCAGCTTTGAACTGAATACACCTTACACTGATGACCTCAAGCTCTCCTTTGGACACGAGACCAAGTCAACCTACCCTGAAAGAAGCTGCGAAACCAAATTTGAAGGTAGCTACGGTGATGACAACGTTGTTGGAAAGTTGTCAGTCAACTATGCCGGCATGAAGAAAGGGGAGGTGGAGTTCACTCTCACAACCACAGCCGAGAACTTCAAGTCAACCATCATTAACCTCAGCCACGACTGCAGGTCTGACAAAGTTTCAGCCAAAGCCGAGATTAAATCTTCCGTGGAGAAGATTGGAAACATTGAGTTGAATCTCAGCAAGAAGGGATTCCTCAGCAACATGGTAGCCATGGCTAAACTGGCTAGGAACAAGGAATCTTTAATCGACACCCAGGTGGAAACCAGCAGCCCCTCTGATGAAATCCATGGGAAAGTTGCCGCGAAAGGAAAATGGATGCCAGGCTTCACTGCACAGGTTGACCACAAGGGAGGCTACTCCAACTACAACACCAAAACCAAGCTCTCCACATCCAATGGAAACGTCATTGAAAGTGAGGTGAACATTAAGGCAGAGGACGATGTTATTGATTACAGCGCTACAGTCAGCTACACACTGGACAGTGAGAGCCACACCCACACACTCACCATCCACAAGGAAGGAGAAGCCAAGAACATGAAACTGAGCATGAGGGCACTCTCTGATGGAGAAGAGGTCAAGGGCCACTTTGAACTGATGACAGACTCTAAATACAGAAGTGTTTTACAAATTGAAAACTTCTTTAACTACGACCTCGTTGGCTATGAGATTGAACAATCAGGAGACTTGGACAAATTCGACACCTTTTTCAAAATTAATTTCTCCAAGGACAAAGCAATTGTAGCCAAAACCATGTTCTACAGATATTCCAACCAACGCATTGAACTCAAAGCTGAACTCACCACCCCATTCTCTGACTACAGATCCACCAAATTTGAATACAGACACGAGGGCCAAAGCAACAGACTCAGTTGCAGCGTGAACCTAAATCAAAACGACAAGGTGTACAGCTCTGATCTGATCATCCAAAAAGCCCCCATCAAGAGCCTGGCTTTCAATGTCAAAACCCCCGTCAGGGGCTATGAAGAGATCATCATCTCAGGGGACTACGACAGCAAGCGAATCAACGCCAGAGCTAATCTGGGCAACGGTGTGGAGTTTACTCTCACAGGCATCACTGGCGCCAAGTACCGCCTGACCACATCCTTCGACAACCTGAAGGAGGTCACCATTGATATGAACGGTGAGCTCCTGGACGGCAGTGTCAACTTTATTATCACCTCCAGGTCAAACAAAATTGAAGGTCAAGGTATGTTGCAGTACACCAGTCCAAACAGTATGAAAATCTTTGCGGCCATTGACAGCAACAACAGAAACTACCAAAAGTACTCGCTGACTCTGGAGAACTCTGAAGATGAATACCAAGGCAAAAAGTCTCACTTTGAAGTGGAAGTCGGTCAGAGCAAACCAGTAAGTGGTTTCATTTATATTTCAGTTAACCGGTTAACATTTGCTAGAATGCTAATGAAAGAAACTTTTATGAGATGTTTTGTTAAGCTCTGGAAAATTCAAAAGTTACAATTACAACCAATAGTCCAAGATTAGTTGCTGAGAATTGTCATGAAAAGAAAAACATCAAGTCAAAATATGTTTTTGATTTGTTTTGTAGATTGTTTTGGACGGCAGATATCTTACAAAGCAATCCATCAGAGCATCCAAACAAGAGCACCAAGCTGAACTGAAAATGAACTTGCCATACCATGTATTCAAAGATGTCTCTATCAACATTGATCACAGCTTTGAAAAAGGAAAAGTTTTCTCAAAACTCCTTCTTGACGTCAACAGCAACACCGTAAGTTTTATTTTTTTCTGACTGAACTCAAAGTCCTTTAGTCATTTTTTTTTGTTTTAATGAAAAAAAATTATTTTTCAGCACTAAAAAAATTATTTTATTTGTCCTAAACTCGTTTCTTAAGTTTTTGACAATTATCATTTTTTAGCTGTTTGATGGAGATTTCAAATACACCCTTGGTCAGAAGCACGAGACCGCCCTCAACATCCGCAAACCTGTCCCAATGGAGCACACTGTCACCATACTCCACAATGCTAAAACCAGTGAGCTGGAAATCTACTTGAACTGGGACAAGTAAGAGAAAAAAAATCTTCCTTCAAAAGATATGAATTAATCTTTGCAAAAAAAAACAACAACTATTTACAGAGCATTTTTTACACTAAAGATAACATATACTGAACAACTGTATGAGAATATGTACAAATTCAAATACTTGTTTTTACTAATGCTGATGCAATATATTCCAGGAATGACCCAACACAGAAAATCAACATTTTAACCTCCATGAAGAACAACCCCAACTCCTATGCTACTGACAGACAGCTCAGCTTTAGTGTAGTACATCCATCTCGCTCCGTAGGAGTGGAACAGTCTCTCTTCAACTCTGCCAACAAACTTAAGAGGTATTGAGCTGTCTACAATCTCTAGGCAACAAAGATAACATAGTTATAGTAGAAACAGGGCCAATAACAGTTTTTTATAACACCTCATTAATATTAATTTTCCGTTACTGGTACCCAGAGTAATAAAAATATCCTTTGGAAATAATTTACTTACTGGTGCTTACAAATGATACAGTTTTTAGAATTGCTCATGAATATTAATATTTATATCTTTAGGAGTTCTTTTACTTTCTGGTACCTACACATGACATTTTTACACATCTCGTAGCTCTGGCAAAGTCTACTGGAGTAACGATGACAGCGCCAAGGTTTCCTACACCGCTAACATTGACAGTGACGATGAGTCCTACAAGGGACAGTTCAAGCTTGGCCTCCCAACTAGAACTCTGGGTCTGACAGGATCTCTCAGGTAACAGCAAACCTTTGATCTGAGCTTACCTCAAACTCCTGGAGTTTATGCAATATGTTCATCATAACCATTGTGTCAGTTAATAAAGCTTGGTGCTGACTTAGCTGTGATGAGTTAGATTTAAGGTTAAGACTGATTTCTGTAAAAAGACTGAATGAAATGTTATATAAATATGGCTTACTCTATTATATTCAGTTTATTATTTCATTACTAAATATATTCATATTCTCAACTTTGTGTAGATTGAAAAAATGAACCGAAAAATAAAGCACCAATATCTTATTCACTTTTAGAATATAATAATTTAAACCATATCTCATCTTTCCTGATGAAATAATGCACACATTCTGTTGAAGATTTATGTATATTAATGTATCTAAATCTATTTCAATAGCAGCAATAAAATGCTGGTGAAAGCTGACGGCTCCTTTAGCTGGGATGTTGACAGAGATGAAAGCAAACAGATTGGCGTAGCTGCTTCTATTTCAGGAAAAGACTTTACCAAGACTGATATCACTGTACAGTTACCTGCTGTAAGTCTTTGTGTAACTTTTTGAAAACATTATAGATCTAGCTATGGAACTTTTAAAAACATTTTAGTTATGTGACTTTTATAAACATTATTGATCTAGCTATGGAACTTTTTGAAACATTTGATTTCGTATAATTTTTAAAAACATTCTAGTTGTTTAACGTTTAAAAACATTTTATTTGGCTTGAAACATTTCTTTAATTTATACCTATACCTCCTAGTTTGAATAACTTTTTGAGCATAGAATCCAAATAAAATTAAAACGCTTTGTCAAAGTTAAAAAAAAATACTGTGAAATCCATATAGAAAGTAATTTGTATTGGTCAATCTTCACTGTTGGTATCACAATTGATAACCTTGTGCAAAAAATATATTTTTAGGATCTGAAAGTGAACAGTGCATTGATCCTGAACCAAGGCAACACAATCTTTGACAGCAAAACTGCCATCTCCTATAAAAATGACAAGAGCAAGACCCTGACTCTGTTCTCTACCCTGAAAAACAGACCAACCCCCACTGGGCGTTTCTTTAGAGCAGAGAGCCAAAACAGCTTCAATTACAGGTTAGAAAATAAGTATTTAAAAAAAAACAACTAAAAAAGTACTCTTTTTTTTGTTGAGAAAATATATTTGCAAAATGCATAAACATTTTAATTTACTTATTTAAAAAAACTATATTTCAGCATTGAGCTTGGGGTTCAACACATTGAATCTAAAGTAGACGTAAAGATTGACGGTCACCTTGCTAGCTCTGATGAACTTTTGACCTCATCCATGGGAGTTGCTTATCTTACAAGCAGAAGACAGCTGAAAAACACTGTCCTGTTTGCTGAAATCAACAAGCTCAAGAAACAGATTAACTTGATTGTAAGTTTTAATCACAGTTTTTGTTTTGTAAGTTTTGTTCAGTTTTTGTTTTGTAAGTATTGGTTGCAGTTTTCGTTTTGTTAGTTTTGTTCACTGTTTTGTTTATCACATCAGTTTGCAATATTTTAATAAAACTTATATATAACACACATTTTCTTACCATTTCAAATAATTAAAAAAAGATCTCCCAGCCTTAGGCCTATACTTAATATAATTATCATTGTAAATGCGAATGTTATAAATGATCTCATGAGTTAATTCACCTTTTTGTGTTCACAGAGCTCCAACCCATACAACAGTTTTGGTGTCAGTGGTAAAATCTTGAACGATGAGCCTTTAAATCTGGAGGTTTCTGGGTCCTTCAATGGCCAGGAGAGAGTCAAATCTACACTTGACACATCTGACAGGAGCATGAAGATTGTCATTGGTAGGAGAATATTTTGTCTTGGAGGCTACTCTTTTGATTACTAATGAACTAGTTTGATCTCCTTTATGTTATAAAATACAAATTTTTAAATTATTTAAGTGAATATATTTTAAAACTTAACTGTTTCTTTTTCCAAAAGGCCAACCAGAAAACTTGATCAGCTTCACAGCTGAATATGTCAACGCCACAGCAGTCCAAGTAGCCATTGACCAGATGAACGATAATGACGACAAGCCAGAAGCCACATTGACCATGAACTTGGCCTCCCCACAGTCCCTGTACACCACCATGTACTGGGCACCTGAACTGGTGTCAGAGGTTAGGAGCACACTGGCCCAGCAGACAAGGGAGATAAGCAAAGCAGTCACTGACTTTATTAGGCAGGTCAACATGGACATCAGAACAGAGGTAAGAAACTGTCAGGCACATTGTTTTAAAAGAAAAAAAAATACTTATAAAGAAGCTGGTTGGGATAGGCATTAGTGTTGTGGGTATTTTTATTATGTGAATATTTTGTCTTTTAGGCTACTAGCTTGTTGACTTTTGAAATTGTTTGATCTCCACTGTGTTATAAAAGAAAATGTGTTACCTTATTTTAAAAGAATATATAATAAAATTTGACTTTTTTTTATAAGATCAGCTAAGGCCTATAGTTAATCCGCAGACAATATTTGGGTTAAGATAGTAATACTAGCAAAAACAAAACTTTTAAAATGCCCATGAGGCTTTTACCCCCATGTACATAAGAAAAAAAATCACAACTGCATTACTATTTAATTATGAAATAAAAAATTAAAAACCCATTTATTTTGTAACATTTTGCTGTTTACAATCCTCCTTTGAGATAAAATGTTCTTTCCTCTCTAGGTTTCCCTCAAGTATAGAGAAATTGCCAACAGAGCAATAGCTGTTGATCTGAAAGAGATTATGGACTCAGCTGAAGAAACTTTTGACAACTTTGCCAACGAGATCGAACCAGTGATGAATGCTTACAAGTTCAGGTAATTTCTTCAACTGAGTAAATTCTATTTCTGTTTGCCTAGTTAATATACATTGCAAAAACAAATTATTTAAAAAAAGCTATTAGTAGTGAGTTACAGGATAAAAATACATTTATTAATCATATTTTTTTTACATTTTTCTCTCATTAGGAAAACATTCTATGAATCAAAGACCTCTGGAAAGAAAGTGTTTGAGGTTATTCAAAACATGATCAATCAGGTGAAACAGTACCCATTAGCTAGTGAATACAACAGAGCAGTAACAGTGGGTCTTGAAAGCACTCTCCGCTCTGTGGAGAAGCTTGTCTCATATCTAGCTGATAGCTTTGAAAATGCAGACCTAGAATCTTTAAATCCTGAAAAACAAATAGGTAAGCCGTGTTTTCATTGCTAAGATGCCAGGTTTATTTAGAGTTCATTTAAAAATAATTATTTAAATATTGTTTTATTTGATAAAATGATAGTTATTTTTTCAACACAATTTTTAATTTTATTGAAATAAAAGATAATTTAAAATAGTGTTGAAAAATGAAGTTACTAACATAAAGATAATTGTTTTTAAAATACTGTTTAAATATGCTGTTATTAAAAGACCATTAGTTAAAAAAAAATACAATCATGTGAAAATGATGTTATTTAAATTATAATTATTTTTCAGCCTATCTTCAGAACACTCTGCAGTACTACAGGTCCAGAATTGATAACTTCAGGAAACAATTTAAGGAGTTCACTTATGACAACTTTGAAGAACTACCTTATATTGCAATCTCTACTGATGATATGAACACCATCCAAAACTATCTGGCTAATGTTAAAGAGACAGTCGATAACAATGTACCTGATATGGTAAGTCTTGTTTTTAATGTATTGATACTGTTTGTATTGATAGTTTTATGATTACAGAAATATGTCTTATTACTTAATATAGATTCTTCTTAGTTCTTATTATGTTTATATTGGAGGAATTATACTTAATATAGATAAACTCCATTTAAAATTAAGCTGTAATTATGGATAAAAATTAATATAATTTTTAACGCTTAGTTTGGAAAATGTCTTTTGCCTGGAAATTTAATAATTGTTATCAATTTGTCCCTAGTTCCAAAGCTACTATGATTCCTACAACCTCAAAGAAAATGCAAGGAAGGAGGTTAAACGTTTATTCACCCTAGCCAAAGACATCATTGAAGATGAGATGTTGGAGTATTTGGACAATTTGAAATCAGCTATGGCTAACCCAGTGGTTACATTTGATCCCAAGAATGGCCGTGTTGAGTTGAATATTCCCCTGTACAGAGTTCCCTCTTCAGCCTCAAACGTCAGTTCAAATCTTTACAACAACTTAGTAGCAAGCTACACAGACAATCTGGAAACAATTAAAAAGGTAAACCTTTTTTTTTATCAAAATGCAATTTAAATAAAAAATATTTAAAACAACATAGTTACTGGCTGTTGAAAGTATTTTGAAACATTTAGGTAAACATTTATTTAATCAAATGCAATTAAAAAAAACCATTTAAAAAACAGTAGTTAGCTACTCCGATAATCTAAACATAATTTAAAAGGTGAACATTTTTTTTATCAAATGCAATTTAAAAAAAAAGATTCTCTACATTATTAACTTATGATTGAATTTCTCAAACAGTGGATACATTTATCTATTTACTAAACTTTTCTCCAATCAGTTCACTTTAATCATGATGTCTATAGAAGCTAGGTATTTGTATGGTCTCAAGTTTACTTTACCTTGTTTCAGTATTACCCATGGAATAATGAAGAAAGTAATGACGTAGATGACTTAAAAGTTATTCTCGCAGACTTTGAACCCATTTCCGACTTATAACTCAGGAACATAAACTTTGATTTTGCCTCCGATCTAGGATGATCTCAAGAAAATTGCTGTACTAAGAAACTGAAATTCAAACTAGAACAGTTCTGTAAAAAAATTAAGTTTTTAAAAAGAGAAACGTTTTTTATTAGTCTACTATTTTTAAAAAAATATTATGTTGTGCTAACACCTAACACAAGAGCAATTTCATATGTACCTTTTATTTTTACTTTTTGAAACCTTGTTTTTTTTTCCTCAAAATTTTTATTTCCGAAAACTGAAACAACATGTGTAAATTGTGTTTCTTACTATCATGTCAGATTTTTTAAGTTAATAAATATTATATTAATGCATATATACAAGAGCAATTATTTTTTCTTTTATGAATGGTTTGGTGTTGTTGGTAATTAATATCACAGTACTGTGTACACGTTAGTGTCAGTCCAGTAGTTTGGTAATCAGCATTACAGCACTGAGTACTTGCTAGTGATAAATCTAATTAGAAAAAAACTATACCACTCACTACACTGGTTGGTAATTAAGAAAAAAAAAGATGATTTACAATATTTAGAACATAACAAAAATAATTGGAAGACTTGAGTTTATAATTAACAAATAATAAGGGGATATATGTATGTATATGTATATATATATAGGGGACAGAGTGGTCTAGTGGCAGAGAGCTGGACTGCTAACCTGTAAGTCTCGAGTTCGAATCTGGGTTCAAGACAGTAGACCGTCCCTAAGTCCACCCAACTCTGATGGGTACCTAACTCACATTAGGGAAAGTAAAGGCGGCTGGGCATAGTGCTGACCACACTATCTCTTCATATGCCGAGGTCACAGAAACAAGTGAACTCTACTTCACTTGCCCTATAGACTGTCAGGTTTGAAAGGGAACTTTACTTATGTATATATAGATAACATTGCTTAGCTTCCACTATAGGTGGTCAAAGGACCCAAATTCTCAACCCTTACCTTATTATCTGGGCCTGGTATCTTTATTCTGTGATATAACTAAACCAATAAAATTTAGAAATGTGAGTTTGCCCATATAAATTCTATTCACACTTCACTTTAAAAGTATATTAACTGTTAACAAATGATAATAGAATCTCAAGCAAAGATTGAACTGTTGACCCTGTCACTGATACAGGTGTGAATAAAGCGCATGGAGCTACATTAGTTAAAACACATTTTTTAACAGACCATGTTCTGTTTTGATAAATTAAGATTGAGTAAAAATATTTTAAACTTTTGTATATTATCCATCCATCAGAAAATTTTCATCATTGTCTTATTAGTATACAGCAATAAGAAAAGATTTATCTTTATCTAAGAATACTAAGGTTAGTGTTCTTAGAGCAATAATTTTCTAAAGAATAAGATAATCTTCTGGATAATTAAAACCCAGTGGTGATAATCCTAGTGGCATCTTACTTCAATAGAGGACATTTCAATTTTACAATCCAGTTTTTCAATATATTATAAAGGTCAACTTATGATTTTGTTCCCCAACCAAAAACATTCAAAAGTATAAAGAGATACTTTCTTGGACCCCCCCCCCCCCCCCCCCACCCCCATCCCCACAGGCCATGTAAACCACATAAAGTCTGCATTGTGTAGATATCAGTCGACTTCAGCATAGTACGTGTGTAGGTCTGTTCAAAACCTACTAAATCTATGTGTAAAGACAAATAATTGGTGCTTATTTTTACGTAATAGATGAAATCTCATATCTTAAAAAATTGAATCAGCAGCTCCATGACCGGAATTGGCCCAGATGGGAATTAACCCAACTTATCTCTACTTTGAAGTTCTATCGGCGATTAAGGGGAAAGTACCGAAATAAAGGGAAATAAGCAATTAGGAATTGATGATATTAATCAAGTTTAATCTTTTGTTTAGATGATAGCAGCAATTTATTTATATGTTAGTAGCGCGAATTAATTATAAAAGCTATGTTTAATTTCAGTACTTGTACGAAAATTATCTCCACAAAAACTATCCACTCAATATTTTTTTGTAACCATATTATATTTTTACAAACTTGAAAAATATTAGAAAGGGTTTGCGCACCTATCAGGCTTACAACGCATTTTGTGTAATTCTTTTTTCATCGGATTGTTGTATATAACAATAATTGTTTTATGTAACATTTCCACTGACTAGACCAGGGGTCGGCAACCTTTTGAAGCGGAAGAGCCAAAAGTTACAATTTTCCAAATTTCCCTGGTTTTAAAGAGCCACTTACTTTTTTTTTTATTTCAAATATTTTATTTTTTATTAAGATTATTAGTATTTGTTCAAGGAGCTGGAGAGCCGCATCTTGATATCAAAAGAGCCGCATGCGGCTCGCGAGCCGCAGGTTGCCGACCCCTGGACTAGACTACTAGTATAACTAGACCTTGTAGATCTAGTCATTCTGTCCAGGGGCAATTTTCGAGCTGCAAACAGATTTCTAACATTAAGTTAAGGACTGCTTGGCACCTCGCCATATATCATCATGAACACAGCTAGTGTGCTGCTCAAGCACAGCCGCCTGCACCAGATTTCACTGGGCAAGCAGTTGGTGGTGGCCAGTTTAAGGAGCTTAAACTGTCTGACTTCAAATGGTCCTTTTCTTCTATCCTATAGACTTACTTCAAAGGAAAGTACCTGGTTCTTTTCTTCTATCCTTTTGACTTCAAATGAAAGTACCTGGTTCTTTTCTTCTATCCTTTAGACTTCAAAGGAAAGTACCTGGTTCTTTTCTTCTATCCTTTAGTTAGGCTTACTTCAAAGGAAAGTACCTGGTTCTTTTCTTCTTTCCTTTAGACTTACTTCAAAGGAAAGTACCTGGTTCTTTTCTTCTATCCTTTAGACTTACTTCAAAGGAAAGTACCTGGTTCTTTTCTTCTATCCTTTAGACTTACTTCAAAGGAAAGTACCTGGTTCTTTTCTTCTATCCTTTAGACTTACTTCAAAGGAAAGTACCTGGTTCTTTTCTTCTATCCTTTAGACTTACTTCAAAGGAAAGTACCTGGTTCTTTTCTTCTATCCTTTAGACTTACTTCAAAGGAAAGTACCTGGTTCTTTTCTTCTATCCTTTAGACTTACTTCAAAGGAAAGGACCTGTTTCTTTTCTTCTATCCTTTAGACTTACTTCAAAGGAAAGGACCTGTTTCTTTTCTTCTATCCTTTAGACTTACTTCAAAGGAAAGGACCTGGTTCTTTTCTTCTATCCTTTAGACTTACTTCAAAGGAAAAATACCTGGTTCTTTTCTTCTATTCTTTAGACTTGACATTGGTGTGTCCAACAGAAATCATTGCCTTCAGTGACGACATTGACACGCTTAAACAGCTGGACACTGCAGTGGTGGGCGTGTCCACAGACTCACACTTCAGACATTTGGCCTGGATCAAAACTCCTAGAAAGCAAGGAGGTCTGGGTGGCCTGAAGTATCCTCTGTTGTCCGACTTCAGTAAAAACATAGTCTGGTGGAAAAATCTGGAGTAGCCCTGAGAGTTTTGTTCATTATTGACCCAAAGGGAATAGTGAGGCAGATACCATCAACGACCTCACTAGTTGGGCGCTCAGAGGATGAAACTGTAATTCTCGATTACTCAACTTTCGGCTACTCAACTATCGACTACTCAATTCCCGATTACTTAACTCTCGAATACTCAACTTTGGACTACTCAATTCTCGATTACTCAATTCTCGGCTACTTAATTCTCGACTACTCGGTTCTTGAATACTCAACTCTCGAATACTCAACTCTCCTATACTTAGCTTTTGACTACTGAACCCTAGAATATTCAACTTTTGATTAATCAACCCTCAAATACTCAAGTTTGGACTACTCAACCCTCAAATACTCAACTCGCGACTACTCAACTTTCGATTACTCAACTCTCGATTACTCAACTCTCGACTACTCTAAGCACCATAGACTCCACGAAACAAATATCTACGCAAGATACTCGATCACGTCAAAATTGATGAGGTTGTACGGCCGGCGCCTATTCATCTTGACCCACACCGAATACAAACAATAAACTTCGATACCTTAAAACTACTAGATTCAATACTCCAGAATTACGATACCCCCTGACCCCACCTAGCTCTCCTCCCAAACAACATAGTCTGGAGACAATTGACTACAACACGACTACAACCCAAACACTTCGATACTTCAACACCACAAACTCGATACTCCAGAATTACGATACCTCCTCACCAATCTTCTCCAAGCTCTACTCCCAACAATCAAAATTCACCAACCACCAACAAACGACGAAACTTCAACATCACACAACTCGACAGCTTAACATTACGAAATCAACTCAGTATCGGCCTCCCATCGATTCAACAAAATCTACAAAACAAGCAACAATACTTTAAACTTTCAATTACTACAAGACTCGATACCCCAGAACAATCAAACTGCAACTACAAACGAAGAACTCCTCCCACCCCCACCCCCAACCCAAGAAGCAAGGGTCAAGAACCAAAATACGCCGAGAAGCGATTATGTACTGTTCTAATTTTGTACTTTATATGTGATAGAAACATAAAGAAACCAGAAGACGATTGAGATAGAATTACACTCTGGACAAAAAAAAAGAAATAAAAAATATAGGCCTGTACAATTAATGCAATGCTATGTTCTGTTTAAGATGTTGAAATTAAATGCCTCAGATGAATGTATGGTATGAATGCAGAACAACAAACACAACTACAAAATAATTTTGTTTTGTTTTATATGTTAAAAAATTGAGGCGCACTGATACTACGCATATAGCTGTTTGAAAGGGGAGAATGTTTGATTTAAGGTGTGATATTATTTTCCCCAAATTCAAATTTATTTCAGCTATTATCCCGTACCCCATCCACGAAAAAAAGATCCCCCCCCCCCAGCTAACTCTCCACAAAAACATTGAATCACCATTGAATGAATTTTTTTAATTTTCAGGTCTAATTAATGAAATTAGACATTTGTTTTATGTAAATCATATTAAATAGAATGAAAGTAGGCCTACACGTCAGAAAGAAGTATTACTATTGTAAATCTGGTGAAGTCCTCACAAGCCGATGATGAAAGCTGTAATACTAAATCGAGCATTGCAAGGCATTCTGACGCTGTAAACGTGTGTTAATTACATATCTGAGGCAAAAAACAAACACGCACATAACCTTCCTAGATTGTCCACCCCAACTACAAGCCACGTTTATATTTTGGTACTACAAAACATTTTCATTTTAAAATTAATTGTACCATCAGCCAGTTGTGTCACGCAGCCATTTTTAGATAAGGATAATGAAAATCAAAGGCCGTGTTGTGTAACATTCCTCTAGACTACCCTCTTTCATATAAGCCTGTAACACAACCAAACATAATGATAAATTCATGTGTTATTTAGGCCTAATTTAAACCCAACTACATAGATGCTTAGCAGCATATATATCTTCTTCGTTATAATACAGCGGAGAGGAATTTCCTCCAACAAATAACTATCACATGACATCATGCGCAAAATGATCAGTTGACTTTAGCTTTTGTCCACCCAAGTACAATAGACAAGGCAGCAGTTGTTTAATTTTGGAGTTGTCTCTCCTAGATGGATTGCTCTCCCCAGCTAACTGGCCAATCATAAGCCTTGTACAATGGTGATTTATGAAGCCAGTAGATATAAAAAGCCCGAACTTTTTTGGTGGTGTTTAATTTTGAAGTTGACAATATTTGATCTGCGTTCATCACTGAAGCGTCAGCTCATTTAGACAACTTTTTAATTTCAAATTGAACAACGAAGTCATCTGCATTTTAACAATGAATATTTTGACAATATATTTGCGAGCAATTATCAATAGGGATATAGTTAGTTTAAGTAAATTTAAGGTTTGTAAGGACTTGTGATGTTTATCCCAGTGATGGGCATATCTTGTCAGGAAATGCTATAGCATTTAAATGGTAAAATAATTAAACTAAGTAAGAATTTTAGAAACTTAAACCGAGACACACACACACACACAAGAAAGACGCACGCACATTCAATGTACATTTTTAAATTAATCTATTTTAATAGTTAATTTCACACATAGATGTTCAATATTACAATTAATTAATAAAGAAACAAAATTTTATTCGTTGGCTTCTTTGAAAAAAGTTTTTTTTTTTTGGAACAATTTTACCATCATTAATGCTAGATGTATCTGCAACCGTGCCAACGTGGATGGTGATTGGGTGATGTTATTTTCGATGGCGTGTTCTCGATGTTGCTCTCAACTGTCGCACACTGTGTTCTGTGTCGCGGACAGGCTGCTCTAAACAGTGGACGTGCTTGCTCTGATCGGGGAGGATGAAGTGGACGTGTAGTTTTTTTTTGTTGGGGGTGGTGGTTTTACTCCAGGGGGTGGTGGTTTTACTCCAGGGGTGGTGGTGCTGCTGGTGGTCACGTGTGTTGTTAGGGGTCGTCCATTTTCGAAAGTCATCACAGGTTAAGCTCGCCAGGTCGCTATCCCTGGCCATCTAGAGAGAAGATTGAAATAAGGTAAAAGTAAAAGGTAAACTATATATATATATATATACGCGTAGATAGACTAAGATCGCCTTCCGTTTAAAACATTGAACTTTTAACAGTTTTAAAAATTTGAGGGAGTGTAAAATCGATCTCTAAAAAATTGATATTTTGACTTTATAATTCTGGCTATGTCTAAGCAAAATTTGCTATTGCTGTAATAGAGCAACAAACAATTTCTAATTTAGCTTAGCCAATTTCACCATGACTCGAGTCGTAGTAAAGTAAAATTTCTCTTTCAAACCTGATGGTCTATGGGGCAAGTGAAGTAGAGTTCACTTGTTTCTATGACCTCGGCATATGAAGAGAAAGTGTGGTCAGCACTATGCCCAGCCGCCTTTACTTTACCTAACGTGAGTTAGGTACCCATCAGAGTTGGGTAGTGTGGGGAATTTAAAAAAATTGTAAAGAAAGATGCATTTTAACTAATGACCAGATAGGAATGAAAATATGAATTACAGAGTTTTAAAAATTGCAGGCCATAAACTTTAACAGCACATTATAGCCAGGCAGTTTCAAAGTTTACGGCTAAATTCAAACATGATTAAGGTAGTTTTTACTTCAATGGAAAATGAAGGAATAAAGCATTGCGCTAACTACAGAATCAATTTCTTGAATACTTTAAATAAAACCTAACTGACATGCATGTTCCTTATTATTAACTCAGCTTACATTACTTATCATGAAATGAGCAGTTGAAAATTGTAATTTCTGGACTGCTTGTTAGAATTTAGAAACAAAAGTATTGTTCCAGCTTTCTTTCGTCTGCTTTTGCGCTAACTACCGAATTGATTCTTGAATACTTTAAGTAAGACATCACTGACGTGCAAGTTTCTTTTCAAGTTGGGCTTACAATACTTATCATTAAATCAGCAGTTAAAATTTGTGATTTCTGGATAGCTCGTTAGAATTTAGAAGAAAAAAGAGTATTGCCCAGCTTCTTTCTTCTTCTTCGTTCTTAAGTTTTAGTGTTGGAAGGGATCCCCTCCAACACCATTAAGTATACGTGTCAGCTGGTTATGCGCCATTGAGGACATTGACTCCGATTTCAGCGTACTTTTCTTTTGGGATTTGCTTCCATGGCCTGTCTCCAAACTACAAGGCAGCAGTTGCTTGATTTTGGATTAGTCTCTCCTAGAAGAGTGGCTAACCCGAGGGTTCGAACTCGAGACTTTTCGGTTTAGCAACCATGAGTTTTACCGACACGACCACGCCGACACCTTGCAGGTACTTACCTTCTTCTCCCTTTTCCTCAGCTGGCTGATGATCATCTGCTGGCTTCTCCTCAGTGGCAGGTTCTTCAGCCTACAAATTAAAAAGTCCAGTTTCGAGCATTCTCACATAACAAAGTTTAAAAAAAAATACAACTACCCATTTCGGACTTTACTGTTAATAGGGAAGAAACTGTGTTTATTTCAGATTTCAGATGTTTTTACGAGGGGAGGGGGGGGGGGCACTTGTAATTTTTTGGATGGGCAGACTAAATTGTCAGAGGGTGGGGGAGGGGGCGGACACTGGTAAAAAGTATATATTTTCTATCTAACTACTATCCCCCCCCCTCCCCGAAGAGATGCCCGAAAGAAACACTGGGCAGATGAAGTGGAGTTCACCTCTTTCTGTGAGTTGGGTATAAATAAAAGCTGAGTGAACTCTAGAACGTCCATTGAACTTCAATCAAGGAACCAAACTCGAGACGTTCGGGTTAGCAGTCTTGCACTCCTCTGCCCGACCACGTTGTTTCATATCATATACTCACCAAATATTCACTGAAACATTTCTTTTTTTTCACGTTGTACTTTTTAACACAAAGATAGTTGTCTAATATTAATTAATCAAATTATCTAGACTAAGCTAATGTAGTTGTTTTTTGTTTGAAAGTGTTATACTTAAAATGTTACAATCTTTCTGTTGTTACCCTAGGTATAGAAACATCATTAAAACTTGAAAACTAGTGTTATGCGAAAAGTTATAGAAGGAAGAGATAGGTAATGTGTACTGGGTGTGTGATTTCTACCCCCCTCATTTCGCTCGACCTTACCCATAGTAAATCACAGAATCACTTTAAAATTTTCTAGATGACGAAATCTACGTACTGACAAAAAGTACTGGCAAGTCAAATTGTGTGTTTTGTCACTGAGCGATGTAATGTTATGCTGTCTTTCTGACTGTGTTAGGCTGTGTATCTTGTTTTCAATAATGGTACTATTAGGACCCCTTTACAAAACGGTTATTAATACCGTTTGGTAAATGTTTTGTCTTATTTACTGTGCTGTTATTTTTAATAATTACACATTAAAACCATGATTTTTTGGTCTAGTTTACAACAAAGATTACTTCTAACTAAAAAATAAAATGTTTCGGACTTAAAGTTTTTTTTAAATTTTTTTTTCTTAAGGCGATACGAATTTCCCCCTCCCCCCACCCCACTATAAAATGTTCCTAGTTTGAAATTTTGTGTGTGTGTGATTGTTTATTCTTTGAGCAATGGGTTGGTGCCTCACCTTTGGTTCCTCTGGTGGTGCTGGCGGTGTCTGTGGCTTCTTTTTTTTGGAACCCATGCACTGTTGAGAGGACAGTTAGAACCAAACGGTCAGCGGCTTAAAACTACTAGCAGTTTAAAACCAAACTGTCAGCAGTTTAAAACCAAACTGTCAGCAGTTTAAAACCAAACTGTCAGCAGTTTAAAACCAAACTGTCAGCAGTTTAAAACGAAATTGTCAGCAGTTTAAGACGAAACTGTCAGCAGTTTAAAACCAAACTGTCAGCAAATTGAAACCAAACTGTCAGCAGTCTAAAAACAAACAATCCGTAAGTGGTGCCCATTAATGACGTCTTGCTGTTAAGACATATTCCCTCAACCTCATGTTGTTACAAAAGTCGGATATCCGCCCCACCAGACCCCCTCTCTGACGAAAGTAACGTCATATTCACACGAGGTCTGTCAACATTGAGAACCAATTTCTATTACAATTTACAAAGGCAGTCTTTTAAACATGGGAAACAATAGCTAAAATTCAATATCTATCAATTACTTTTTAAAATAAAACAAATGTGTCGTTAAACTTTCTGATCCCGCTTCTCCCATACATTACATATCATTACACATAACATATCATCAGACATTACATATCATTACACATAACATATCAGACATTACATATCATTACACATAACATATCAGACATTACATATCATTACACATTACATATCATCACGCATTACATACCAACACACATTACATATCATAACACATTACATATCATCACACAGTACATAAAATCATACATTACAAATCATCACACAAGTATATATCATCACACATTACATATCAACATACATTACATATCAACACATAGTTCATACCACACATTACATATCACATAGCACATATCATCACATAGTACATATCACATAGTACATATCATACATTACATATCACATATCACATATTACATATCACACAGCACATATCACGCATCCATTACATACCATCACGCATTACATACCATCACACATTACATATCATCACACATTACCAGAGGCGTAGCGACCCTTCCCGGCGCCCGGGGACAAACTTTTCGATTTGCACCCCCCCTCGAGATTTCGATTTGCACCCCCCCTCAAACTTTCGATTTGCACCCCCCACTCGAGATTTTGATTTGCACCCCCCCCCCTCAAACTTTCGATTTGCACCCCCGCTCGAGATTTTGATTTGCACCCCCCCCTCAAACTTTCAATTTGCACCCCCCTCAGCCTTTCAATTTATTTTTCCAACCCATTTTGGCGCCCCCTAAAAACCTAGCCTTAAACGCAGCGCTGACCGTAACTCTAATCCTGGTCCTAGCCCCAGTGGCGTAGCGAGGTCGGGTGTCACCCGGTGCGGCACTGAATGGTGTCACCCCCAGAAGCGTAGCGACCCTTCCCGGGGACGAATTTTTTATTTGCACCCCCCTCAAACTTTCGATTTGCACCCCCATCAAGTTTTCGATTTGCACCTCCCCCCTCAAGTTTTTCTCTATATATTTTGCTATTTTTTGCATTGGTGTCACCCCCCTAAATGGTGTCACCCGGTGCGGTCCGCACCCTCCGCACCCCCCTCGCTACGCCTCTGCCTAGCCCTAACCTTAACAGCGATACCGACGAAAACAAAAACCTTTACGAAATTGTAGCGTCTTGCATTGGGAAAATAAAACAACCCGATTCGATACCAATTGAAAAGTCAGTTGTTAGTATTCGATGATAAAATATTCGCGATGGCTTGACTTTCTGTTGATGAAGATTGCGGCCAACCGTTATACTAAAATTACCCGGATATTTTTCTAGTTTACTCACCGCCTTTAATACTACTTCACCCTCCACCAACCTTGTCTAACGCTTGTTGAAACAGTGACGTAGTTAAATATACAGTGAGAGACCCGTGGACAGTAAATTATCAACTGTCAAACTCACTCTCCGGTTATTTCTACCGCAACCTACCAAATGTCAATTAGCCATTCCATTTATTACTCCTTGGTCATTTCCCCCTAAACTCTACCCCTAAGTCAAAACCTGTCTATCAATTACCACTTCCACGCCACCCCCCCCATCTTTACACCTAGGTCAATAAATTCATGTCAATTGCCTCCTCCCTAGTCATACCCTCTCAATAGACATACCCCCCCCCCCCCATTCCTATATACCCGTAGGTTATATAACTTCCCCCCCCCCCCCCCAATTTACTTATACGTCAAATAGACCCTTTGTAGTCATTACCCCAGCATTACCCTTAGGTCAATAACTTCATGTCCATTACCCCTTCCTAGTCAATCCCCATCCCCAAATATACTCCTAGGTCAATAACTTCATATTCATTACCCCTCCCTAGTAATTCCACATCCCCAAATATACTCCTAGATCAATAACTTCATATTCATTACCCCTCAATAGTAAATCCTCCCCCCTCCATCTTTACCCCTAGGTCAATAACTTCATATTCATTACTCCTCCCTAGTCATTCCCCATCCCCAAATATACTCCTAGGTCAATAACTTCATATTCATTACTCCTCCCTAGTCATTCCCCATCCCCAAATATACTCCTAGGTCAATAACTTTATATTCATTACCCCTCCCTAGTAATTCCTCCCCCTCCATCTTTACCCCTAGGTCAATAACTTCATATTCATTACCCTTCCCTAGTCATTCCCCATCCCCAAATATACTCCTAGGTCAATAACTTTATATTCATTACCCCTCCCTAGTAATTCCTCCCCCTCCATCTTTACCCCTAGGTCAATAACTTCATATTCATTACCCTTCCCTAGTCATTCCCCATCCCCAAATATACTCCTAGGTCAATAACTTTATATTCATTACCCCTCCATAGTAATTCCCCCCCCTCCATCTTTACCCCTAGGTCAATAACTTCATATTCATTACCCCCCCCCCTAGAAAATCCCCATCCCCAAATATACTCCTCGGTCAATAGCTTCATGTCCATTGCCCCTCCCTAGTCATTCCCCCAATATTAACCCTACGTAAATTACTTCATATCAATTACCCCTCCCTAGTCATTTCCCACCCTGTTCCAACTTTACCCATTAGTCAACAGCTTCCTGTTAATTGTCCCCTTCCCCAACCGCCCCCTCTACTTTATTTCAAAGTTAACAAACCCTACATATGTCCTACGCACGATACAAAACTTGAAGAGAAATCCTAACATTTCACGTAAACTCAGTCTAAAGGTCACGTTAGGTCATGGAGCTGTCACTAGTGCTGGGGTGTGGAGTAGTTGGTGAGCGATTTTTTTTTTCGAGAAATAAAATGAAGGGGGGGGGGGGCAATAAAACTGAGGGGGGGGGGGGGGGGCGAGTGTCTTGGGTGGGGTAGGGGATTTATGGTATTGGGGTAATGACTGGGGTAATTATCGGAGAAGTGGTGGCCCAAGAACCGTTCACATGTATATTTGTGATTGAGTGGAGTAGAAAAAATATTTTACTAAGACAAACTGTCTGTATATAGCTGTGATGCAGAGGCGTAGCGACCCTTCCCGGCGCCCGGTGACAAACTTTTCGATTTGCACCCCCCCCCCCTCTCAAACTTTCGATTTGCACCCCCTCAACCTTTCAATTTATTTTTCCAACCCAATTTTGCGCCCCCTAAGGTCGGCGCCCGAGGACATATGTCCCCCAGCCCCCCCCCCCCCCCCCCCTCGCTACGCTACTGCTGTGATGGTTATATCTGTCTATAGCTGTGATCGGTAGGTCTGTATATAGCTGTGATAGTTATATCTGTCTATAGCTATGATCGAGGTCTGTATATAGCTGTGATAGTTATATCTGTCTATAGCTGTGATCGGTAGGTCTGTATATAGTTGTGCTGGTTATATCTTTCTATAGCTGTGATGGTTAGTCTTTCTATAACTATGATGGTAAGACCTGTCTATAACTGTAATGGTTAGATCTGCATTAGCTGTGATGGATGGTTCTGTCTATAGATGTGATGGTTAGGTCTGTCTATAGCTTCGATGTTTAGGTCTGTCTATAGCTGTGTTGGTTAAGTCTGCCTATAGCTGTGATGGGTAGGTGTCTATAGCTGTGGTGGTTTAGTCTGTCTATAGCTGTGATGGATATATTTGTCGACATGGCTGCGATGGTCATGTCTGTCTATGGCTATGATGTTTAGGTCTGTCGGTATATCTGCAATAGGTAAATATGTCTTTAGTTGTGATGAAGTGGTCTGTGAAAAGCTGTGATTAGAAGGTCTGTATTTAACTGTGGTATTTAAATCTCCATGGATATAGCTGTGATGGTTAGGTCTGTCTATAGCTGTGATGAGTAGGTCTATTCTTTGTTCAGTAAAGGTTAGGTATGTCTCTAGCATGGATGTTAAGGTCTGTCTATAGCTGTGATGGTTAGGTCTGTCTATAGCTTGGATGTTAAGGTCCGTCTATAGCTGTGATGGTTAGGTCTGTCATAGCTTGGATGTTAAGGTCTGTCTATAACTGTGATGGTTAGGTCTGTCTATAGCTGTGATGATTAGGTCTGTCTGCAGCCCTTTGCTCCCCAGGGGCCACAAAGGAATGATGATGATATCTTGGGCGTTTAGGTCTGTCTATAGCTGTGATGTTAGGTCTGTAATCGACAGGGGGGTAATGTCCTACTACAATGTTTAGGGTCGGGGTATGATAATTGACAAGGGGTAATTCATCTTAATGGAAAATTCTGCTCCCGCCTTAAATTTAGAGAAACGTATTTTTGAGCGTCCATAACAATGCCTTTTTTACCCCCCCTCCCCCGGCGACCAACTCAACATTGGATCGTCGTAGTTTCCAGCTCACTGTTCTGATTCACAAAGTCGATTTAACCTGCTTTTAAGGGTTGTCCATAAATGACACCGCTCACTTAGGGGGTGGGAGTGGGAGATGGAAGAAAGGGTCTGATTCTTGTCGATATTACGAGGAGTGTGTGTGTGTGTGTGTGTGGGGTGGGGGGGGGTAAGTTAGCTTACATTTTGTTTTGTTTTTAATTTTAAAAATAAAATTGATGACAATGAAATAATATCAAGTCAAAGTCCCTGACTCGTGTCAGTAGGACGTCACTGAGCCCACCCAGCTCTGATGGGTACCTGACTCAGGATAGCGAAAATAAAGTTGTCAAGGTACAGTTCTGACCACATTATTCCTTCCTGTACCACAGAAACATTGTAACTCTACAACATTTGCTATGCAGACTGTCAGGCCCCAAATGGTACACTTTTCTCTAATGGGTTTACTATACATTAAATCTCTTTGTGTGTGGGGTGAGCTCTATTTACTTGAGGGTGGTTGGCGTATAGTGACTTCGACTATAGAGTAGGGAAGGGCGTAAGCTAATTAACGTGATGTCTTTTATGGACAACCCCGTAGTAAATTGTAGAGAGGCAATGTTATGGCTATGGTAAGGAACAGATCTATCATGAGTCTCAATACCATCAAAACCTCAACCACCAAACATAAAGACCGACTTTTTTTTTAAAAAGCCGAATACTTAAAACTTGAACTGTGTTAGATCTAGATCTAGATGTGTATAAGAAAAACGTTGACACGACTGTACAGTAATGCATCAGTCCCCCCCCCCCCCCCCCGCATGTTGCTCTAGTGTAAAGGTTAGGGTTAGAACCAGAGTCAGGTTAAGTATACCGACAAACCCAGACGTCGGAATGATCCTAAGTCCTGCCGACGTTTTAAGAAGTACCAATGTTTTTGTTTTTTGGTAGAGCGTGTACACCGTACAGTTATGATGGTTGTGTTAGGTACTGGAGAGTAAGGAGATTAACCCTGAAAAAGAGATTAACTTTAGGTGTAGGCTAAGACTTGTTGCAAGGGCGAGAAAAAATCCTGTGGTAAAGTTGGCGCAAGATATCTAAAAAAAAACAAAACAACAACAACAACAACAAAAAACAACATTTTTAATTTTAATAAAAATATTTGGATAGATTTAGATCTATATCTAGAATTGGAGAAGCTTCTTATGTTGTTGCCATTTTCGACGATAACAATAAAGAAGCTTTAATTTATCCTTGTCATTAACACTAAACTGGGCCTATGCCCTAAGTAACACAAAGTAGCTAGTGTATTAAGTTTACACTGCTAAAGTGAAAACTTGAAGCTAGATTTAGAAGTAGATGTAGATTGTAGATGTAGATTTTAGATCCAGGACATTAAACATTTTTTAACACCTCGTTATCGTTGATTTGAGGCATACAGTGTTTTGGTTTACCGGCTTATGACAAAAGTGCATATTGTTTCAAAATAAGCCTTTTCTAAAAAGAGATTGTAAAAAAAGTTCACTTTTGAGTTAGGCCTTGGCACTCTTGGCCGACTTAATTTGATGTAACCCTAACTTCTTTCAACATTTTCTAAATCTAGAATAAAGTAGAGTCTATCGGAAAACTTATTCCGTTGTTGACAATGCTGTGGATTCATCATAAACAGCTTATCTGATAGGTTTTGCCAGACTCAACTGTTCATTTCAGGCATCTATCGCCATAGCAACCAAAAACTGCGTTAGCAAAAGGATCGTTAACCTTAAATTAGCGGAAATCTGTCAAAATTTTTGTTAAAATTAAACAAAGCAAATGATACTCACCCCCATTTTATGAAACCTCCAACCTTTTTGATGCTACTTTCCTTATTATCTTTGTTTTACCTTATACTATGCAACATTTTTTTTCTCAATTTCTTCCTTTCATAATTTGTTTATGGGGAGGCCAAATGACGTCATGATTGCCATAGCACGTCACAAGCAGTGCATAAAAAAGTGCGATACACCACAGTCCCACATGTTATGGTGCGAAAATATTCGAAGCTGGGTAGATATTCGATCAAGAAGTCTGCATTTTTTATATTGTCTATATTTAGAGTTCTAATAATAAAACAGATCTAATAGTACTAACAAAGCACCATGCAACTACAGAAGAAAGGAAAAGAAAAAAGATTAATTAGATTGTCCTATTTTTTTCTTGTAAAATAGTATATTCTTGTTTATATAATGACGTTTGGGTGATATGCATTAATGACCATTATGTTAATAAAACACCCATTGTGAATGACTTTAATGAATAAATCTGATAATCGGAACCAGAGGCGTAGCGAGGGCGGGGCGGGGGGTGCGGATCGCACCGGGTGACGACATTTAGGGGGGTGACACCAAGGCAAAATATTTCAAAATGTACAGAAGACAAATGCCTTTTTGCCAGTTCCATTAATGATCAATTAAAGTTAATTAGTCGTTTAAGTACAAATTGACAACTATTGGGGGTGACACCATGACGTATACGTGCTAACTAGAGAAAACATTGATACATCCAACTATATTATTAACTTTTGATAAGCATCGTTACTATTAAGTCTGCAGTGATTAAAGCTTATACAAATAAATGTACGCGAATGTAGCATATATGTAAATTATAGACCTGTGTAGTCCTTATACACACACACACACACACACACATATATATATATATATATATATATATATATATATATATATATATATATATATATATATATATATATATATATATATATATATATATATATATATATATATATATATATATATATATACATATACATATATACTTTGTTTCTTGGGGTGGGGGGTGTTGACACCCGCACCAGGTGTGCCGCAACAGGTGACACCCGACCTAGCGACGCCACTCATCGGAACTATTGTTTTTTCTTGTTGTTTTATTACAGTCAAGAATCAACATAAAATCATAACGGCACATGTAGGATTTGACTGCGTTAAGCGGTGTATTGATAGCGCTTCACCTCTCATGCGTGTATTATTAGGACTGACTTAGTATGTGCTGCAAAGTTTGGGAGTTTGGTGGGGGGGGGGGGGAGCGAGGGGGGGGGGCGGAAGGCAGTGATCATAATCAGCCATCACTTTTATTAAATGTTTACTAAAATGGGGCGGGTATATTTTCTGTTTGAGATGGAATTCCATACTCTCGCAATTGTTTGTGTTGTGACGTGGTCACTGTTTTTTTCAAATGCCAACTTCTTTTGTGTGAGAAAATGTTGACATAACACCAGTAGGTCGAACAGCTGCTTGATTCTATCTCCGGGCTGTTGTTTTAGATTGCGAATGTTGTGTAATCATTCACGAAGACAGCAGTTTGAATACTATTACGTCCTGAATGTACAGCGTTTATTCTATTCTCAGATGTTGTTTTTTTGCGATGCACAAACCCACATCTTTCCAAAATGCATTTATTTAGCGAAATCATCAACGATAAAGCGCATCTTGTTGCCAGCAACACTATTTCTTAAAATAACGTCCCCTAAGCGATATTTATTTGCTTGCATATTTTTAAGGCGTTCTTTCTTTTATTTTTCTAGTACACGAAGTATAGAGGAAATATTGCAATCGTTAAAACATAAAATAAATTGAAATAGAGATTTTTACATGCCTTGATGTTTTTACACATAAGTCGATTCGCAGTTTTAAAGAAAGCAAGTTTACTTTATTTTCTTATTTACTGTGCATAAAAAAAGCTTATTATTAAGAAAATATTTTTTTATATTTGTTCGATAACAGTTCACATTTTTAAAAAAGTGCGTTATATAACATCTTATAACATTACATCACTTTTCCAATGATTATGGCACATCTTCCCCCCCCCCCCCCACGCGCACTCAACATAAACCACGACCCAACTTGGTATTCTATTGTAAAAATAATACTACAAATATCAACAGATCATCAAAGAGAGACATCTCATTAGCGACCGGCCTGAGTTTTGTTAAAGTAATGAGTAATCAACTGCTAACCCGAAAGTCTCGAGTTTTGATCCCGGGCTCGATTCCGTAGGACCTTCCTGAGTCCACCCAGCTCTAATGGGTACCTGGCCCACGCAGAAGAAAACTAAGGCGGGTGGCATAATACTGACCAAACCAGCTTTACTTCATCTGCCACACGGAAGGCGGGTGGGCATAATACTGACCAAACCAGCTTTAATTCATCTGCAACACGGAAGGCGGGTGGGCATAATACTGACCAAACCAGCTTTAATTCATCTGCAACACGGAAGGCGGGTGGGCATAATACTGACCAAACCAGCTTTACTTCATCTGCCACACGGAAGGCGGGTGGGCATAATACTGACCACACCAGCTTTAATTCATCTGCCAGACGGAAGGCGGGTGGGCATAATCGAATATTTTTTTTTTAATCAACGAGGAAGATACACATTTTTCGTTTTGTTATTGAAGGTGAATTATGAGTGCATTATGTTGCCAATTATTTTTTAATTTGTAGTGATCAATGTCGTTCGGCTGCTAGCCCGTACGTCTCGAGTTCGGATATCGAGACAGCAGGATGCCCCAGAGTCCACCCAGCTCTGATGGGTACCTGACTCACATTTGGGCATAGTACCGAGATCGAGAAACCTATGGATTGTTAAGTTTGCAAGTGGAGCTTTACTTTGACTTTAGTAAACGATGTACATTTTTTTCTGGCTTCCTTGATACAAACTAATAAACTCCTGGTAGATAATAGTCCCACCCCACCACTCCCTGCCCCAGTTACCTACATGCACATAAAAAACCATTTTTAAGAATATAATTAAACAGTTCTTATTTTTTTGGCATCTTGAAAGGTTTGTTTCATAGTTTGATATAAAACGTTGCATTTCATGAAGATTTTTCACTCAGGAAACTGGTCTATCATTTTCACGTCTTGGTATGTACCATAAAATATTGTACCTTTTCCAGACAACACGATAAAAACATCACGCTTACGGCACAAGTTTACAACAACACGGACAACCTTTAGTCAACAATCAAACATATGTTAAAACAAATTTAAAAAAAAGTTACTAGCAATTTATTTATATTTTATTTCATTCATTTGATGACAATTTTTTTGTCGTAAATATAAAAAATCAGACATCACGCTCACATCCGATGGAAATTTAACCCACCGCCCGCCCCCATCCGCTCATGTTAACACAGCTTTGTCTATAGAACTTTTATTTGGCTCCCACTAAATCTTACATCATTGTATGTATTGACAAAACGAATTACTACCTCACTGGTTAAGATGGTATAGAATATCAACTACCAAATTCCACTAGCGCCGATAATATTTATTATATTTTATATTATTAAAATTATTGTTACTAAATTCATATTTCAAGTTTTTTAGGTTTTTAAAATTTAGTTACAAACCAAACTTTATTTTATTAATAATAAACTCTCCAAATTAAAAAGTAAATTAATCTTTACATAATTTACATAAGCATACTTAAGGGGGGAACGGTAGTGAAAACACATTTTCTCACAAATTATAAGATACATGCTTGTTTGAAATTGTATTAACTTTAAAATACTTTAAACATTATAACACTGTATTTATTTTGGCCAATTTATACATTTATTGCGAAATTTGGGGTCAAATTGAACAATTTTTTATGTACTCAGTAGAAACAAAAGTAACTAATAAAATAGATAAAAACAATGCAATGTAACTTTGCACATTCCTAGTAGACATGACAAAGGACGGTTTGTTAAAGGGAAATTTTTGATATCTTACAAAATGAATTTTTTTGTGAAATTTTTAAAATGAATTTTTAAAAATTCGAATGATCTTCTTTGAAAACAATACTAAAACTTGCACAACTTTTTTAACAATTGAAGTATGGCCAAACCCCTTTGCATGTTTATAGATACATATGTTTGTTACATACTGTGGCCATTTCATGTATTTCTAATAGGCACATTTTGAGTTAAATTGTTTCCCCCGAGTTCTATAGAGTAAAATTTACAAAACTGAGAAAACTCAAAATGAAGCTTTATTGTGTAAATATTTTATCATATAAATGTATTTATTAGCAAAATAATGAATAGCCTTGATAAATAACCACTTTTCCGATAATATTATTGGGGGAAACAGTAGCTTACATCACTTACAAAAAAAATAAAAAAAATAAAGTTCGATGTCAACCTTCACTAGATATCAAAATCACCAAAAAATAAGATATACAAAAATGATTTTAGTTGAAAAATTTGAAATTTTTCAAGAAAGTTGACTACCGGTCCCCCCCTTAATAGTAATATTATTCATGAAAATATGAACATTCACAACAGTTAGCTTATGAAATAAACGCTGGAAAATGGCATCAAATTCTTTTTAGACATTACAGGTGCTTGTTTGAAAACACATAGGGTGACGTCACAATGGGGTAAGTGGTAACCAGCAGTACTCAGCGAGGATTTAGAACAACAGCAACTCTTTCACAACATCTCCCCTTCAGGTACCTGGGTCAGAAGAGAAAAACCATGGCAACGCATTTGAAAAAACGTATTATTTCAATTGATCAAGTGTGGTTATAGTTGAGAGGTAGATCATACTTTCAAATAGACACACCATCAGATACCTTGATCAGAATAGAAAAAACCCAGTAGCGTAGCGAGGGGGCGGGGGGGGGGGGCGTGGCGGGGGGGGGACATATGGTCCCCGGGCGCCAACCTTAGGGGGGGGGGGCGTCAAATTGAAAGTTTGAGGGGGGGGGGGGTGCAAATGAAAAGTTCGAGGGGGGGGGGGGTGCAAATCGAAAGTTTGAGGGGGAGGGGTGCAAATGAAAAGTTCGAGGGGGGGTGCAAATCGAAAATTTGCTCCCAAGGGGGGCGCCAAATTGAAAGTATGTCCCCGGGCGCCGGGAAGGGTCGCTACGCCTCTGAAAAAACCTATGACAAAGTATGCTAAAAATAGATACATAAGAAAGTGATAAAATGTTGTTATAGGTGAG